TGCTTCTCCTGACCCCCGGGACACCAGTCTGTCTGCTAACCCACCCCAGGTGTCCAGAGCACCCAGCAGACTCCCACCCTCACCCAGGGCAGCCACCAGCACTTTTGCCTTAAAAGCTCCCAGCTGAGCCCCTGGCAGACATCACTAATCAATGAGGCGCACACCAAATCCCTTGCAGCCCAAGGCTCCAGGCAGACACTACCAATCGATCAGAATTGGCCTGGGCCAGCAGAGGGCTCCTCAGTCCTGCTCCAGGCAGTGCCAGCTGCCTGGTGTCACCCCAGAACTCAGCACGGTGCCTGCCCCGTGGCCAGTCTCCAGTCCACAGCTATTGAGTGAATGAATGGACAAGCAGGAAAACAGGCCACGCCTGGTGCTTGGACAGAGACCCAAGCAAGAGAGCACGTCTGTCCTCTGCACGTTCCATCGATGAGCACAGAGTTCATTTAAAAGCCCAATGATGGGCCCTCCCTGGTGGCGCAGCGGGTTAAAGCACTGCACTGAGAAACTAAAGCCACTTCCGCATGAGTTCGATTCCCGCCTGCCCCGGAGGTGACCACATGGCGTGGCAGACCTCTCCTGACCCGCCCGCTGCTCCCCTCAGCAGTGTACTTCGTCGATCTGCCTGTTCTGCTCCCTACTCTGTCTCTGGTGAATCCTCTCACCCTCCGCATCTCTGGCCTATACCCCAGTTCTGTATGAATAAATAAATAAATCTTTAAAAAAAAAAAAAAAGCCCAATGAACCCAAAAGGGGCACTGGGGGCCTCCCTGGGGTCTCCAGTCCAGTCCTGCTGTTCACGTGTCCCACTTCCCTGGAGCCCTGAAATCGGAGTTGCGTCTCCTGCCGTGCTGTGTGACCCCAGGCAAGTCACCCAAGCTCTCTGTGCCTCATTCGCTTCCACCATAAAATAGGTGGGATAACCAAACTGGTCAATGGTGACCACAGTGGCTCCAGGAGCCCTCCGTGGGGACGGAGCGCCTGGCACAGAGCAAGAGCCCGAGGCAGCCAAGCTGCTGCCACCTTTCTGATTCCACTGAAGAGCCTTGAGGCTGGGGCCATGAGGTCTTTCTGGGCACCAGGCTGTTCCCCAGACCATGCAGGGCAAACACAGACCTGGGGGACCATTGATTTCCACCTGGGTTGTGCTGGCAGGAGATGGGGTCTGTCCAGCTTTCAGGACCTGCGCCGCAAACAGCCTTCTTGGGGTGCAGCCCCAGGGCTCTCCACAGTGACCCCTGCGGCCGACCACCTTCTCTGCCATGCAGACACAGACAGAGAGTGGGGTCGCAAGAGGCCAGGCTGGGAGGTAACCAAGGCGCTCGCCTATCCCTCCTCCTCTCTGGACCTCAGTTTACCCACTTGGAAATTAGGATGGGGACAGCCTGGCCCTTCCAACTCCAGCGGGTGCTGGCTCACTGTACCCCCAACTGACTGTTTCCACAAATGTCACTGAGTGCCTACGGTGGACCAGGCCCTCCCACACTGCGGTCCCCGCTGGCCGCCCCTCCCTCGGCCACCAAGTCCAGGCTTCCTGCAGAAGCCTCGGCTCCTCCCCTCGTCCTTCTTATCACAGGGCTATCTCTCTCCTAGGGTCTGTTTATCCTGTCCGCTTCCCTCTGACTTGCGGCCTCCTGTGGGCACCATCCCTACTTGTCCCCTGACTCATTTGCGAGGGCTCCTGAGGAAGGTTCTGGAACTCTCTTGGGTCAATGAACAAATACATGAAGGTGTGAATTCCAAATTTCGCGGCCCGCACCCCCACAGTGTCTTAGTTACACCCTCTGCCACCCCCCCTGCGCCCCACCGCCCTCCCTGGGAGCCCAGCAGGCAGCGCTCACCACCCTAGGAGGCTCCCAAGCCAGGAGGCCCACCCCGAGCTGGGTGACCACTAGGTGCTCACGAGGCCTGCGTGGCATTCTGGGGGTGTTAACTGCTTTAGTGCGGGGCTGACATCACCTGAGGCTTGACGGGAACCCAGGCCCCCCCATCTTTCTGTGCCCCGCGCCATACAGCTCCGTTCTGCAGACTCTCAGCAAACATTTAGGCGTTAATTAACTTCCCCAGGGAACAGTGACTCAGTGAGGAGGTAATCTCCCGGCCCAGGGGCGCACAGCAGCTCCCCGGTGCCCAGGCAAATAAGGCCAGCCCTCAGCCCAAGAGCCGGCCTCACTCGCATCCGCCCTGCGGAGGACACGGGCCTGGGGCACCCCTCCCCACGTGTGCGCACGCATGGACACTCTCTGCCCCCCGCCAGCATCTGCTCCCGGCCTGAGTCCCCGCTCCCCTACCAGCAGGCTGCCCACGCCCCTCTGCAGGGGCGAATTCCTGCTGTGTGGCCCCAGCTCCACGCTCCCAGGGGCACCAGAGAGCTCAGCTGTTCCAGCGCCTCCTTCCACAAGTGTTTTCTCACAACAGCTGTGGCAACTCCCCTTCCCGGGCCACCCCAAAAAAGATCAAGGGTTGTTATTAAGCTCGACAACTGCCTTAGGCCTCCACACCAGCCCACCTCTCCAGTCCTGACAGTCAGGGAAGCCAAGTGAGTGGGTCCCAGGCAAGAGGCCCCGAGAGCGGACCGGGCTGCTCCGAGGACCGAGCCTGACAGTGGCTGGTACGTGCCCAGGGGAGAGGCCCCTGTGAGCCACGCGGCTCCCAGCCTCTGGATAAGGAAGCCACTACTTCCGCCCCAACCCTGACCCCCACCTGGGCCCCCAAAGTCTTCCGGGCTGTAAGCCTGGCTGTGAATAACGCAGCTGAGGCTAGCACCAAGACAGGCTTCTTCGTGGCTTCCTGCAAGCCCTGGTCTCAGCGAAATTGGGAGGAACTTTGTGGCGTGTAGATGAAATCAAGGTCAGGCTGACCGTGAGCTGAGCCCTGAGAGCTGGGCCTGGGCCCACCAATGGCAGAAGCGAGCAGCTGATTTCAGAGACCCTGGAGGAAGTGCCCATCCTGGACGGATGGAACCTGGGTTCAAAGCCCGCCTCACGCCTGACTGTGCAGCCTCAAGCATGGCATAAGGCAGGCCCCGGTTTTCCTGCCACACTGGGCGACGGCAGAAGGTCCCAGGCAGCATCAACCACTCCAGGAACCGAGCCGGTGGCCAGTCCAGTCGTGGCTCCCGCCACCTTCCCATCAGTGACACCTCCCAGGTGAACTTCAGACAGGGCTGGGCGAAGGCTCTGCAGGTCGTGGAGGCAGGCCCTGGGGAAAGTGAGGAGTGGTGTGTTTACTCCTACAGGTATTGTGACAGGGGCGGGGCCAGGGCCCTCTGGTCAGAGCCACCAGGTCACCACAGAACGGAAAGAGGACGCCCTTTCTCTGCAGCCTCCAATGTCACCCTGGGTCCCTTGGTGACATGCTACTGGCCACAGGAGCCCCTGAGATTGCTCCTGGTCTCCTGGAAAGTTCAGAGCTTTGGCTCTGGAGCGGGGGGCTTCGGGTAAGTCCCTCGCACTGTCTGTGTCCACGTTTCCCAGTTTCTGCTCCTGGGGAAGGAGGTCGACTCTCACAGCCTTTGTTTTTGTCCTTGATTTCTGGCGCTGTGTAGAGGTTGATACTGTTTGAGGAAACCAATCTGGAGAATTCTTCAACCTGATGGAGACCCAGAACCCACAGAGGGGCTGGCTGGGTCCTTTCAGGGCAAGGGGTCAATGTAGGTGCAGAGGACAACGGGCCCAAGGGAAGAAGGGACTCAGAAGAAACCCCAGCAGAGGGGGACGGACACAGTGGCAAGTGTGACCTGCACCCCAGACCCACAAAGCCACCTGCACTCAGAATCTCCCTGAAGCCACCTCACACCCCACCACCACCCTCCTAGCTCCTCTGCGGAGATCCCAGCTGGGATGCCTCCTTCAGGGCAGCAGTCACCCTCCCAGGCCCCCCATCCGGATGGAGAGCCCCAGGGGTCATAACCCTGTCCCCCTGCCCTCCGCAGGCGGTGGACTAGACAGAAAACAGGATCACCAAAGTTAGGTGTGGAGTTCCTGGGCCCCTGGTGTTCATCTCCGAGGGGCTCACCGTCCTGGCACCCCTCCTGACTCCGCCTTTTTGGAGCCGGGTCCCCACGAGTCCCCCCCCCCCACCTCCTCTGGGTCCCTGCTGGGCAAGCAATCTCAGGGAGGGCTGCAGGGCGTTTCTGGCCAGGGCCTGCCCGGCTAGATGCAAGGTGATAGTCTCTATTGTCATTATGATTCGTCGGGTAGGACCGGCGGGTTACAGAGCCTCGGATTAGGACCCTCGCTCTGGCTCTCCAACCTTCGCACCTCAGCGGGCTCCAGGTCAGCAGCCTCTGCGGGCTTTTCCCCCAGTTTCCTCCACGCGCACCACGTTTGTTTTCCCGTCTAACAAATGGGGTGCACAGACCGTCCCCGAGGAGGCGCCGAGACCCCTCGGTCAGAAAGTTCGAAATCAGACCCAACAACCCCGGCGCTAAGGGTCTCCGTGGGTCAAGCCAGCCGCCCCGACTCGTCTCCTGCAAAGGTCTTGAGTCACGCGGGTCCCCCGGGGTCGGCAGGTGAGAAAGGAGGCGCCGCGCGGCGGGGAGTGGGGAGCAGCGTGCACCTGCCGCAGGTGAGACCCGACCGTGGGGAAGGGGGAGGAGTCATCTCCTCAGCGCACAGGTGAGCCGACCCCCCGCCCCGGAAACTGGGCCGAGGGCGGCGGAGGGTGGCTGCGGCCTCCTTCTTGGGGACTGCGAGGCGACCCACGTTGCAGACTACGGCCCCGGCGGCTCCGAGTCCCGCGCGGCTCGGCAGCCCCAGGAGAACATTCGAGGCAGCGGCGGCGTTGGCGGCCCCGGGTCCGTTCGGTATTTGAATAGCACAAAGGAACCGCCTTGGTCTGATTGGCCAGCTGAGTGGCCCCGGGGCGGGCAGCGCCTGTCACTCGGGAGGCTCCGGGCATTTCTATTGGCTCCCCGCGTGTGGGGCGGGGCTCGGAAGCCCGGCTAAATAGCTGGGGCCGGGGCCGGCCGAGGCTCATTGCTTTGGCGCCGTCTGGGGAGCACGAGCCCGCGGGTGGCGCGCAGCGCGTGGTGGCGGCTCCTCTAGGAGCGCAGCCGACCCGTTGACCTGGGCTCCGTTTCCCCTGTCCGGCGCGCCTCGCTGGCCGGCTGGAGACCGAAAACAGCAGCAACATTAGCAGCAGCAGCAGCAGCAGCAGCGGCGGCTGCTCGGCCGCCGTCGTCTCCGCGGGAGCATGGAGTGCGCCCTGGACGCCCAGAGCCTGATCAGCATCTCCCTGCGCAAGATCCACAGCTCCCGGACCCAGCGCGGCGGCATCAAGCTGCACAAGAACCTCCTGGTGTCCTACGTGCTCCGCAACGCGCGCCAGCTCTACCTGAGCGAGCGCTACGCCGAGCTCTACCGGCGCCAGCAGCAGCAGCAGCAGCAGCAGCAGCAGCAGCAGCAGCAGCAGCACCCGCCCCACCACCAGCACCAGCACCTCGCGTACGCCGCGCCAGGCATGCCGGCCAGCTCGGCCGACTTCGGCCCGCTCCAACTTGGCGGCGGCGGGGACGCGGAGGCGCGCGAGCCGGCCGCCCGGCACCAGCTGCACCAGCTCCACCAGCTCCACCAGCTGCACCTCCAGCAGCAGCTGCACCAGCACCAGCACCCGGCGCCGAGGGTCTGCGCGGCGGCGG